TGAAAAATACGTTTTTTCCGCCATTTCATATCAGGCGCTACCAGAGCCATCTATCAGCAGACATTTCGCGAAAAACATAGAAAGTGGGCACAGCATTTTCCCCATTTTTTGTTCATTTTCCCCGGCAGCATTGGGTTAAAGCTTATGTATCAATTTTTCCATATATTTAGCCAACAAAAGCCTCGTTTCAGTCCAACCAGAAATACATATATATCTACAACATCTCTGTCCATCACTGAGTATGTTTTACACTAGGTGAGCGTGTTCCTCAAACCAGGCCAATATATATTCATTAATCTAAATCAAATTTTAATTCATATCTTATGCATGGTGAGCAGTTACTTGCAGTGACAGCTGGATTTACATAAATTTCCAGGACAATTACATTTGGAATCAAAATATTATTGCTATTTCTTCTTATCATGATTGTAACCAACTAGCATTGGGTACACGTGGTTTTCTTTTATCAACTTTGTTTACCTATGGACAGCTTCATTTTTAGCAGTATTATTATCATTCCTAAAATAATTATTAATAATACATTCTGAAAATTCTTCTTCCCAAAAATTTAAAGTGTTGTAAACAGATAAGATGAAGCAGGCCTAGTATGTAAGTCCAACTTTGTGTAATCAAAATTAATAAAACAAAACTTCAATGAATGTATACATCCATTTCCAGCATCAACAGATCAACAAAGACACTTTCAAAGATGTTTGTTAATTGTATATCAAATTCCTTGTTGATAGTTATATAAAATATCAAAGAGGATTAGATTCACATTTTTGTTGTTGTATCTGACATACTGTATCTAAATATGTATATTCTAAAAGAATAGATCCACTGTTGAGCTAAGTATATAAGGTATCTTTGAACTACATCATCATATAATACTGAATAATTTTCACAATAAGATAATAACCAGTGTGATAAAATGTTAAATACATAACATGACACTTACTTGTAAACAAGTGCAGCAGCAAAGTGGCCAGTGATGTAAGCATCCATTACTGGCTTAAAATGCTCAAACTTACTGTCTTCAAGAAGGCTAATTATAGAGACCTGGAAAAAATCATTGAAATTAATAAAAATACATAGGCATGCAACCTAATATTCACAATATACAGTGAAATATAAGATAATGCCATAATTTATATAACAAAGCCAGGGTGACAAAAACAAGACTACATCCTCCAGGAAATCCACACAGCAACTCACTAGGGCCTGGAAGACATGGCCAGAATGCTGTGTTGAGTTCCCATCATCCGTGGAAAACATAGCAAATAGAGCATCCAACACATCCTGTAGGAACTTGACCGTCTCTGCACCATCCACACGGGTAAGTCTTGAAAGTGTTTCTCCAATACCCTCCGGAGCTGATCTCCATCTCAGTAAGGACAGGAGATCAACTGAAAAAGAAAAAAATATCTTGAAACCTGTGTATGTGTGTGTGTGTGTGTGTATATGTGTGTGTGTGTGTGTGTGTGTGTGTGTGTGTGTGTGTGTGTGTGTGTGTGTGTGTGTGTGTGTGTGTGTGTGTGTGTGTTTATTTGTTTGTTTGTTTATTTGCCTGTTTGTTTATTTATTTGTCTGTTTATTTATTTATTTGTTTGTTTCTTTATTTATTTGTTTGTTTCTTTATTTTTTGTTTGTTTCTTTATTTGTCTGTGTTTCTTTGTGTGTTTGTGTTTGTATTTGTATTTGCATTTGCGTTTGTGTTTGTAAATCGTCTACTGTAATTTCTAACATTAAAATGAACATTGATCAGAAGTAAAAGCTATCACTACATTACCATGATGACAAAACATAATTCTAAACTATCACAGCATTTTTGCACAAATAATCAAGAGTGGCAAACTTCCAAAGAAACACTGACCATTTTGTGTGAGTTTGGTTGAGCATAGCAGAGTGTCAATGACCATTATTTCTTTGGGTGACCGCTGGAATGGTAGAGAGTAGATACAATCCACTGCCTCTTTGGCAAGGAAGGGCATGGAAAGGTACTCCAAAGGATTGTTTAGACGCCCACGTTCATCGCATTTGTAAACACAGAGTTCGTGGGATCCATCTCGCAAGGTTGTTCCCCCTTCATCATCCATAAGACGGACAAATGAAAAGCCAAAGAGTTTCTTTTCGTTCTTTTCACGAGCTGAAAATACGTTGAATTATAAAACTTTCGCTCACAAACTCAGACATCTAGTAACTTATTGCAACAATTTTTTGTTATAAATTGAAGGAAAATATTGTAAATAATAATTTTCATAACCTTTTCAGTTATATTCAAGCATATTTACACAAAAGAGACCCAAAATATTTCACAGAGGTAGATTATAAAATCATAACTTAAGATCAGAGACAAACACTTAGACTTCAGAAGCTACATAACTCAAAACCTTATCAAATATTAAAGGCGGGTTGAGCATGTAAACAATATTCATAAAAAGTAAAATGAATATGAATAAGCTTACTTGAGCAATGCCTGTATTCCAGTCTCAGGTGAGCGCCTGCAAACTGGTCAATAGGGATGGCAACTTTTAGCCGTTCATTCCAACGGGGAGAATTGTTGTGATACATTATCATGGATGAAAACTCGGTGGTTCCATCATGTCCCATACCACTGTAAATACACTGTGAAGAAAACATCAGTTAGTGAATTATGTATAATGTGCTCATTAGTTTCCTATCCAGTTTCCACTGATAAATTTCAAATACTCATTATAGTAGCTACATCTTATTGAGGGTATGATTTCCACAGAGAAAGCCTTGAAAACTTTGTATAACCAAGATTCTTTCTGATCTTATCTTTAAACCTATGCAGAGGTCAGTACCCCAACCAGGTTTTTATCTGATCTTTTGTTATCCCTAACCACAGCTATTGGGAAAATATAACCACAATGTAATGGCTAATCAAAAATAGCAAATAAACTGGAAAAAACTTACCTCCAGAGCTTTCCCATCTGAGTCTAATGCCAGTACTGTAACTTCAATATTTTTACCAACAGTCTTGCCTCCCTTCTCAAAGTCTCCATTATTTAAGGTCACATACAAGTCATTTCTGTAAAATTAGAGTAAGTCATCAATTCACGACTATATACATACAAGTGTTGCTTTAATTTCTATCACTACAAAAAATAACTTACATTACGCAAAAAATCCACACTGTTATTTACCTTACATCTCCAGGCATAATGACATCAGAAAAGCCAAGTTTCTTAGTAACACACACATTTTTGAGCAGCAGGGGATTTTCCTTGGTGGCTTGTTCTAACTCACCATGCACCACCTTCACACTCACAACCAAACCTGCAAAGAAACACCTATGGAGTTACCTTACATTTGTGACTGTATTTCTGTTGATGCATAAAACTTAACTTATTGGATACAGGTGTTAAGCCATTCATGTCATGAAAAAATCTGGCTGTGACCCATAGTGAACAGAATGACACATCATGAGATATTGTTGCTGAGTGATGGCCAACAGGAACCTCTCGCAAATAGTGCATAAAGTTTTTGGAGGATGATCTGACACAGTGGGCATTTATGAAGGGGTTCTTCCATTATTTCCACCAGTAAACAAGTGTGGATTGTACCATCCATGAGCCATGTCTGAATAAGTTCCAGATCCAGGGACAATATTTCCCTGCTCAGGATCCTATTCCTGCCTGTCATGACTATTGGTACTGGATTTGTTACACAAATTTGAATAAGAAAATAAAAAAAATAAAAAAAATAAGCTACCATAACATAATATTACTTATTGTTATTGTTATTACACATAGTTGGAGACTACATGGGGAGATAATGTAAACAAATTTAGACCTTAGAAAATGACAAAAAGCAAAAAATGTATATGCCAAGTTAATAACATAGCAGAGTAGTCAAGGAGTCCTGATACTGCACATAAGTGTACATATGGGCTGGGCCTGCAAGATGCACACCCTGGAGAGTCGCCACTCACATAAGCCTAGTCCTAGATTTTGGTTCACGTGCAAGCAATAAAGCACCTGCATCCAATGGATTAACACTATCATCATAGCTAGCATCATTATTATTATTATTATCATTACTATTATGACATTATCAAAGATGGAAAGCTTAAAAAAAATCCTTATAGAAACCAAAAGAATGGAGTAAATTTGATTGAGTACTCATAGTGTCATGTATATGGAAACTAATTTTATAACTGAAATCATAGTCAACAGGGCATTTAAACATGCTCTTCCAGAGTAAATGGGTAATTTTGTATAAATTGATTCCACAGCAAGCAGATATAGATTCAACACTTAACAAGGAAATTTTTATTGTATTTAAGTCTAAATTTTAGACTAATCAATTAATCAAATAAAATACAAATAATATGATATACAGACCATAACTGGCATTGTTAGACAGGATAGAATATTTGTTTGACTGCTTCTTAAGAACCAGTTCATGAAGCTGCCAAAAGTCTTTTTCATCAGAAGTAAACAGTTTTCCCGTTAGCTCAACCTGCAAAAGAAACCTCAATGAACATATATCATAAAAAAAAAAAAAATAATAAAAAAATAAATAAAAAAAGTAAATATGCACATAAGAAAAAGCATGTCATCAACAGAACCTATGCCCACTGACTCACCTCTCCCTCACTGCCTTGGAGAACAGACTGTGATAATCTGAACAGAGCAACACCATGAGGTCTGCGATAACAGTGGGATGAGGTCTTCTTCACTGACTCCGAGAACAGCATCCTTCCAACTCTAACGACATGTGCAACAATATACAAGTCTGATGCTAGGTCTCCACTACCAAGGTCCTGGGGAAGGGCACCAATGTGAGCGACTGAGGGACTGTAGCTCTTAATTATGCTTAAACTTATACTTAATTATACTTATTACCCTTTATGATAACTATTTCTCTGAGTACCTCAAGTCTTTCCTGAATTAATTCCTTAAACTAAAAATATTCATTAGGTCTGTCAATCAGCTTTCATTTTCCTTAGCAATATCATATATCAAACATTTGGATGAATCAGAGCAAGAGCTATATAGTAGTGACTGATTCCTACTTACTGTAAATATTGTGCAGTTACTATGGATTTTTTCAATATAATTTGAAAATCCTTCTTTTGATAATTTGACTAGAAATCTTTCACTGGAAAGGAAATAAAAAGTAAAATGCATTAATAAATCATTTCCATAAACATTATAAAACATTTCACATATTCAGTGGCATAAAAGATAAGCATAATACAAGTCCACATGAATATACCAGAGCATAATAATCAGGTTATGGACTCACCTTATAATCTTTCCTCTCTGTGCGTCATACAAGGAGAAGAAAACCTCAGCATCTTCTCCCAAATAGTATGAGAAATCTCTCATACAGAAGAACAAGTGATGACTCAAGATTTTCCTCCTCTCCTTCCTCTTCCCAAGTGTCCCAAGGCCCTGGATGAAAGTATCAAGTATTATGTGCTTCTGTCATTTGAATCTGGGTTTGGATCATTTTTCTATGCACATTTTTAAAACTGTGCTTTCCTAGTACAATATTCCAAACTCTATTTCCTATAAAAGAGCTAAGCAAATAAATCAGTTTGGTTTACATATAGATGGATCCACAAGCACTTAGTCACCATAGAGTCAATAAGTAGGCTCTATATGACTCAAATTTTGAATTATGGGTTTTGTTTTCTCTAATGACAATAAAATACTGATACTATTATTATCATTCTTGTAATTGTGATTTTAATAATGTTATTAACAATGCTATTGGCAATAAAAAGTAAAAAAGAATTTACAAAAATCAGGTAATTGACTAGTAACTGACTCCCTGGCTATGAAGCACTTATGAAGTCATCTATATGTAAACACAACCAATACATCAAAATAAGAGAGGACATGGCATGTGTCATGCCATCCCGGCATCAGTGGGTTGATATAACCTGAAATACAATACTACAGGCAGTGGCAACATGCTGAAATTTAGTTCAGTAACGAATTAAGCAGCACAAAGAGAGGAGAAAGAATTGGTATTATAAAATGAGATCACGACGGCTTGTTAAAAATTTCTAACACTCATATATGTTAGTTATCTATGTATGCTAATTCTTATAATAATTTTCAAAGTTCCCCTGGCAAATTCATGGTACAATATATAAAATGTACCTATACTTGTGTTGAGATTAAACAATTCAGAATTGAATATTGATGAGAGAGAGAGAGAGAGATTTTAGTCACAAAAGGATATCCAAATATCCAAAAGATTTTTACTTTGTTTCTATATTTCTATATCTTTGGCTTACCTGAGTGTGAGTTTGTGAAGCTTCAGCACTTTGTACATGCTGTTCAGGAGGAGAGAAAATGATGAATACTTTTATAAACCAAACTACATATTTCAAGGAAACAGATTCTTTAATAATAATTTTAGCATAACAAGATCTTGTATCATATCACATACTACATTTTTATAAATTTTATCTTTTCAGCCTTGCTAATGCAGAATAAACAATTATGTCTACAACTTGCATCTCATCAGAATATTAAAAATACAAGGCCCATGTACTCTTAATATTTTTCATGCATTTAAAGAGGGAAATAAATCAATTATATATAAATTTATTTCTTCTAAAACTATCTTGCACAGATTCAAAATGTATGTATCACAAGGAAGCCTTTCAAGAATTACATAGTGAACTCAATCCAACTATTGATTTTGAGAAACCTTTACTTACCACCTGGTGAAGCTCTACCACACTGACACAATCGGGATCTACCATTTCCCCATCGACTCGGGGCACAAGGTCAAGTCCCAGCTTCCTGTAGGACATAATAATCATTCCATAAAAAATCATAACTTGGAGAAATTCAATCCCTAAGCCATGATGTAGTACAGATACTTCAAGTCTGGTCTTTATTTTTATGGTAAAATGAGTCATAAGAATTACTTTTCTATCAATAAAACAAAATCTAACAGACTGTACTGAGGAAGGATCTCATCAAAATGCAAGAAATTGCAATTACAGATATTATGCAACAAATAAATGATCACTCCTGCTTTTCCAAGGAGTTAAACCTCAATACTAAATAACAAGTGAAGTTTCTTGCCTGTTCCCCCAGTCTATTTTCCGTGTTATTTTTAATTTGAGTTGCGCTATTTGGTCTGAGGTAAGCGTTCCAGTGATGAGCTGTTTCCTCCAGTCCGCCACATCCATCATGGCCTTCCGGACAGCATCCCATAGTTCTTGGTCTCCATTTGGTGTCCCAAGCTCCTGAAATACAATAAAAAATAAATATATCTGTGAGGTCTGCTCCCTTCAACATACAACTTTGGCATAATCATCAGATTAATAGGAAATGAGATAAATTAGATAATACAGGATTTGGAGTTCTATGCTCTTTATCAAGGAGTGCTGTGAAATAAAATAAAATGATGCAGAAAGATATTCTCTTTTTTGTGGATATTTTAAGCTTGCCACATAAGCATTAATATATTTACTTTGTTCATCATCATCATAAGGGGGCATACGCATGGCTGAGCTTTACCGCGCCCAACCTTTACCTCCACCTCCTAGGGTCCCTCCGAGCAAGCCTCCATGCAGCATTCCTTCCCACTCCCAGTACATCTTGGCAGATCTGATCGACTTGCTTCAGCCATGAGCTCCGTGGCCTTCCCCTTGGTCTTCTCCAACCTGGGTCAACCCTCTCGGAGATGACCCTATAAGCCGGATCTTCCTCAGGGAAACGAGCCACATGTCCATAGAGCTGAAGTTGGCGCTCTCGTATCAGACTGGTAATAGGTCTTGAATCAGTCTCATGGAGTATCCTCTAATTGGACACATGGTCCCTCCAGGTATACCCCATGATTCTGCGAAGACACTTAATACCAAAGTTAAGACGGGCTTTCAGAGCACTGTTCAGTGTCCAGGTCTCACACCCCATAGAGTAAGACCGGGATCACCAGTGCTCTGAAGAGCCTGATCTTAGTTCTCCTAGTCAAAATACCGAGAGTGCCAAATACTCCTATATTAAGTCCATAACGGCATAGGCCAGTCCGAGTCGTCGAGTCACTTCCCGGTCAGAACCTCCATCGCTCTGCACTACACTACCAAGATAAGTGAAGCTATCCAAGACCTCAATGTTCTCGCCACAGGCATGCACAGACTAAACATCGACATCCAAAAAGTCACCAAATTCCTGAACCTTGGTCTTGGTCCAGTTGACCGCGAGTCCTAACAGCTTCGCCTCCTCATGTAGCGCCTCGAGAGCTACTTGCAGAACCTCTAATGTCTCCGCTAGAATCACTGCATCATCGGCGAAGTCAAGGTCTGTGACCTTGAAATTACCAATTGATGCCCCATAGGAACTACGGTTCACGGTACGTCCAAGTATCCAGTCCATACAAGTGTTGAAAAGGGTTGGAGCCAGGACACATCCCTGTCTCACCCCGGCAGACACCGGGAAAAAGGCAGGGATGCCCTCCTCACACTTGACAGCACTCTCAGTATCTGTATACAGGCCAGACAGCAAACCAATAATTCCAGGGGGGATCCCACGGAGACCCAGTAGGCTCCAGAGACTCTCCCGGTGCACTGAGTCGAAAGCCTTCTTGAGATCAACATAAGCTGCAAGCATACACAAGGACACGAAGTGCTAAGACACGGTCTATAGTTGACTTCTTGGGTGTAAAACCAGACTGCTCAGGTCTCTGTGCTCGTAATAGGCGGTCGCGCACTCGTGCCAAAAGCAGATGAGCAAGGACCTTGCCTGGTACACTGAGCAATGTAATACCTCTGTAGTTGCCACAGTCCTTTTGGTCCCCTTTCCCTTTCCAGATAGGGATGACCAAGCCCCTTTTCCAGTCAGGGGGAATGGTACCAGTCTCCCAAACAGCAGACAGGACTGCATGCAAACCACAGATCATGGCTTCTCCACCCGCCTTCAACAACTCTGCAGGAATCCCACAGACACCAGCAGCCTTTCCACTCTTCAGCTTAGAGACCACCCTTCTCACCTCTTCGATGGAAGGTGGTGCCTCACTGATTGGTGGATCAGCCACTAGTGGCTGTGTGCCAGCCAACGGGAGTTGTGAAGACGGGGGATCTACTTTGTTCCAAGCAGCAGATATTCATGAAACAGGTGAAGATGCACTCTGATGCAAAGATGAATTCATGTGGGATAGGGCAGGAATCAAGAAAGAGGTGGCAAAGTACAACATGAGTTTGGGGTACCAATAGAGAAAAAAGTTTGGGAATTACTGTATTCAAATAAAATCAATTCTGATCACTTACCACGTAGAGTTTCTTCCATATTTGCCCCCATTCTCTCAGCACGGATGCCGCCTCTTGAACGACAGGATCTTCCACGGGTGTTACCGTTTCATAAACACTAGAGAGAAAACATGGAAAAATAAGAAGGGTAACCTAAAAGGACTTCAAAGTATTCAAAATGTTATAAAAGATTCCATAGATTATCCAAATCTTTTTTGATTATTACATAAGAAAAACAGGTAATCCCTACAAACCCTTCATTGTCAATCTTGAATGGCTTGAGATGGATAAACTGCGCAGGAAATATGCCTTTGACATTTCTGTTTCTTGAGTTGAAGCCTCTGTACCAGCCTGCAACATCATTACATTAATCAATTCACAAAAGACTTACATTCTAGAATCCATATACTAAGACTTACAGAGAAAACAAATAAGGCCCTAAGTTCAAACAGGAACCAAACATTAAACTGGAAAGACACTGTAAGTGTAGAGAGTTACTAGGTTTTCAGATATAGATTCAAAGTGTGATGTGTTGGATAATAGTTGAATACAAGAATTATGCCTACTAAAAGAATACTTGAAAAAAATAATCAGATCTAGAAAAAAAAAATTATTACATTTATTTTGTTTTAACCCATCTGCTTTTAGGAGCCCCAATCCATTTGGCATGTGCCATGATGACTGACTACAGACTGACTGTTTATTGTTGTTTTGACCCAACAGATGCCTCTGCTAATGGTTTTATGTGATTAGTTGATAATTATGTGATATATGTAATCATGACATAAATAATTATGACATATAATCATGTGATTTGTTTATACTATGATATACCTTGACCTGTCTGGCTAGAAACTAGCAATGGCTTTGATTGGTGGATCAGTTCACATAGTGTGACCTCATTGTGTAGTGTTAGACAGTCACCTGTATAAAAGGTCAGTCAAAGGCTCATTCTAGCAGAATGATTGTAGCCATGGAAGGTAGTAGCTCTCACCCCCTTTCTCACTCTCACTCTTGCCCACAGCCAAGGCCATCCACCTCAACAGCTAACCTGTTGGAATCTGGATCCTCTGAGGAGGATAACACTGGAGATGAGGTAATCCCCTGGGACATTACTACTATACTCAGATAGCAATGGTCATCATTGTACCTACATTAACTAATTCATTCCATTTGCTTGCTCAGTCTCAGACTGTTGTGGGCTTAAATTGGAAGTCATACCTGGCCATCTATTAGTCGAGAAATCCAGGGGTTGCCATCTCTTGTAATCTCCACTTCATCAACAATGAGGACAGGCTACAGAAGCTGAGGTAGGTTTTAGACATATTCGGGGACTGGCTCAGGTCGGTGTTCGTCCCCAACTGGTCTGTTTCCATAATCAAGCCCCTATGGATATTCATGGGCTACCTCAGCTACAGAACCTATAACCTCAGCAAACAAGCCAGATTTGGTGTGAAAGTGTACAATCTTTCCGCCAGCGACAGCCCGTGTGCAGGTTACAATAACATGTTCCACATTTGAATGGTCAAGGATAAAGGGTCCATACCAGCGACTCAGAAGGCAGTGGTGGATCTAATGGTGGTGGACAGGTTCTTTTGGTAAGGCTACATGGGGTACAAGGACATCTAGTACACCTCCCTAGTCCATATCCTGCAGTCCAAGAAGATGGATACTATTGGTACAGTCCACCTCAATCACCACCACATGCCACGTTATCTCCAGGTCCTGAAGCAGGGGGATGTGGACTCCTGGAGCTCCCCCATGAACATGTTGATATTATTGTGGATGGACTCCAATCAGGTCAACATGGTAAGCACAGTCCACACGTCAGCCATGTCTGAGGTAAATCGCCGAGGAGGTCCATGGGTGTCAAAGACTAAATGTATCGTTGCCTACAATGATGGCATGAAGAGCATTGACTTGGGAGACCAGCTGGCAAAATCATACTCTTCAGTTTGCAAGAGACGGAAGTGGTACAAGAATATTTTTTTTCCATCAATGACCTGGCAACGGTGAAGAGCCATGCCATTTACAAGCTTTTTGACCACCAAATGGAGCAGGTTGACTTCCAGTTGGACCTGGCGATGGCCATTATCAATCACTTCCTCACAGAACGAGAGGGCATCCACAATCAAGAAGTCCACAATCTGACCTCTCATATAAAAAAACAAGGCTACTTTTATAAATTATAAAGCTACTAAATTCACTTTTTTTTCTCCTCTCTTCCAAGTGTCGTATGAAAGAAACAGGCACTAAACTTACAGTTTGACCTCTCATATAAACACAAAACTATTTTTGAGCTTTAAAAAGAAGCTGCATTCACTTCCGTTTTTCTTCTTTTTCCACATTATATATAAGAAAAAAATCAGTTTCATCTCTCATATCAACAAAACTATCCCACAACTATTTCTGAGCATGAAAATGATGTTTAGCTTGTTGCTGTGCTTCATATTATGCTTTATTTCCTAGTCTGATTGAATAAAAAAAAAGTCCCTACTTTGACCTCTCATTCAAAAAGAACACAAACTTCTCTCTTAAATACAAAGGCAAAGGAGTGCCTAGAAAACACCATGCGAAAAGTGTAGTTTCTACGCATCAGAAAAAATCTGTAGCAAGAGCCCACACCCTTACATCAAACATGATTAGTTATGCTAATAATAGATGCTACCTAACATTTTCAAAATTTCTTTTTAAGTTCTGAAAAAAAGAGTATGTAAGTACTGTACCAATTTTTTTTTTTTTTTTTATAGCAATTTTGGTTGTGATTATTCAGATTTCAAAAGATATTATAATCTGACTTCATCAATTCAGATACAGTTCTCCTAGCACATCAGAATTCTTTTTCCCAGTCACAGACATCTAAATTTGAAGCCTTAAGACTATCCAAACTTTACCTGCTTACATCCATGCAACAATTCAACTAATAAAATTCTAAAAGTTTAACAAAACTTACCAGCGCATTCTTCTAATATCTGTACAGTATCTCCCACGTCAAGTCTCAAAGCCTGTTGAAGGTTTTCATGTTCGAAGTTGTAGATAACTGAAAAATAGATATACCATCATCAGAATTTGTGAAAATGTCAAAAAGTTGCAAATAGATTCAAACTGCAAATAAAATTTTCTTATATCTAGATTTTTCTGTCACATGCCCATCTCTCAGTGCCGTGTGGCAGACTCAAGGCCCTGAACAAATGGTGAACAATAACATTCATGACATTATCAGAATATTGCTATTATCATCATCATCACCATCATTATC